GGGGGGCGCGGCCGCGGGCGGCGGCACGTGGAGCCCGGCGGGGAGGCGCGGGGGTCGCCCGCACCCGGGCACGACGTTTCAGAGCAGAAGAGCTGGAGCTGCCTTGCGCTTTGCCAAGCCACAGGTCCCTCCTGCCCGGGCTCCTGTGTCACAGCTGCCGCAAAGGAGAGCGAACATGCTACAACCAGGGTTTCTGCCACTGTCCCTCTCTCGCCGGCAGCCTCCAGCATTCAAGGTCTAGGAAGCTCTACTTGACTGGCTGTGCCCCGCGCCACCACGTGCATAGCTACTGATGTCCCTTTCTCCCAAGAATTTGTCCCAAGAATCAGGTAGATTTTAATGAGCCATGAAGGCAAGTGGCTCCCTCAGCGCAGCCTGACTAGAAATGCTGCTGCCACTGCTGGGCAGTTGGATTTAAACTTTGGGTGGAGCAGGAATCAAAGGGAGGTGCAAGGGCACCAGTGCACCCCCCTGGATCCGCCCCGGTGTCAGGCATGATCCATCCACCCCTGAGAGCAGACTTGCCTTACAGGTGTGCAGGTCCACACACAGTCTAGACACAGAAGCACGCAGTCTATTTCAGTGAGTGACTCTGAACTCAGGTCCCTGAAGATCCTTTGAAGGGTGCCCCAAGGTGCGAGAGGATTAGTGAGCTGTGAGGAGATAAGTAGATCCTGCAGCTCTGTGAGGGCATGGGCACTGTAATGTATAAGGTAGTTTTTAATTGGTTGCCACTCAATTCACAAAAGTTATAGAGATCAGCCCTGAGTCCAAGGTAGGGCACCTTAAATCTGAAAAGGTTGAGATGCACTGATTTATAAACTAGATCCACAAACACCCTTAGCTTATACCTCATGAAGAACGAGGCATGCCCTTGATTCACACACACACACACACACACACACACACACTGCAAATCCCTAGAACAAGCAATGACATAAGGAGCTTTGAGATGAGGTGCATGCCGGGAGATAATGTTCAGTTCCCAAGTGGGTCACAGGGAAGTCAACTGCACAGCAAAGTGGGATAGTGGGTTTCCAAGGATCATATATGGACTTATCTGCAGCATAGTAGCCAGAGAGGATCATGAAACCAGTCACACACAGGGCTCAGCCTGTTTGTATGAGAACCCAACTAACTGCCCAGTGCTAGGGGTGGGTACTAGAAAGGGTTAAGAAAGGTTGAAAGAGGAGGGGGAGCTACAGCTATCTCACTGGGGAGAGCTCTTTTGATGCCCCCTGGGTTGGGGTTGGAGGGGGAGCACTCTCTATGCCATATCCCTGTGTTAAGTTGTAAGGCTCCCTGCTTTCCCATTGTCATATTCGTCATCATCATCATCATTATCCTCATCACTGTACTCACCATTGTCCTCATTCTCTTCTTCCACAAGGACCTACAAAAGAACCATAGAGACTTGGACTGGCTAATAGTGCACCACACTCTCCCAGTGAGGGTATGGAGACACAGAGAGGGATGAAGAACTGACCCAACCATCCCAGGAAAACCTGCCAAGATGATAGAGAGACTATTGACCGCCTCCTGTGGCTCTGCCTCCATGCCAAGGGAGTGTGGAAAAAGGTAAGCCGACTCCTTAAAGTGATGGCAGGAGTCAGGCTGATGACAAGGGAGGCAGCACTGTATGGACACCTGACTAAACAGCAGGTGTCCCAACAGCTCACTTCGACCAGTTTGTGTCCTGCGTCAGAAGTGCCCTGTGGCAATGCAGGAACCTACTGGTGTATGGACATAGAGCTCAAGGAAACAGACTGCGTCAAAATGTTTCTGAGTGAACTCCAATCCTACTACCAGAGTGGTGGGAGAGGACAGAGAAGAAGCAGCCAAATCCACTTGGCAAAGCAACTCTTAGCAAAGGCTATTCAAAGACACTCGGAGAGGCTGACTGGTCGGCAATAACGAAGACGACAGTGACACAACCGGACCTCGACACAGCAATGATGACAACAGTAGTGTCAGCAGTAGCAGAAGCAACTGTGAGAGTGACAGTGACAACAGCCAAGACAGGGAATAAGCAGACAATGTAAACCCCAACAGCGGGATGAAAACTAAGAGACTGTGTTATGGAAAGGACTGCGAACAGGTGTGTGGGGGTGCGGATGCATGTGGGCGACCATTATAACGGGTGCATGGGTTTTAAATGCATTTTAAGCTTTGTATAGAAATGCTTATCCAGGATGCTGTATATATATATAGAAATATATTTTTCCCTGCTTCCCCATTGCTGTCACCACTGCTCCTCATGGCAGGGGCAGGGAAGCAGCCTGGTGGAGTCTTCCAAAAAGTCCTCCCTTTTGTGAGCTGCTGATGCTGATAAAGTTTCTCTTCACAGATTGCAGAACTGCTCAAAGAGAGTCCTGCCTCCATGGAGCAGAGAAACATGTCGGGCCAGAGGGCTCAAGGAAATGGTGCACAGAGGGTTTTCTCTGCCAGGATGTTGGCGCAAATCCCCAGTAATGCAGTGGCTGATAAGGGCTTCCAGCAGCCCAAGAAGAGGACAACGTTACATCCCCACAGTGACAGAGGGCTGATACTACCCCTCAAGACACTGGGGACAGTAATAATTAATAACCCTCCTAGGATCTGGTCCTTTCCTTGTAGGTTACTTAGTAGGCCCTGTAGGCTCCTCAGTCCACATGCTCACCCAGTCCTCACAACAGCCACTGAGCAGAGCCTCTAATTCATTCACCCCTCTGATGTAGGGCTGGTTGATTGTTCCCAGGATGCAGCGGAGGCTGCAGCACAGACTGTGTGGTGCCCTGCTGCCTCAGGGAATCCTTGGCCCTGGGCTCAGGGTAGGTGCCCAGACCCCAGGCAGTGTATGGGGAGGGTTGGGTGCCCAAGGAAGGGACTGTCGGGGAGCTGTGTAGGGAGACAGGGGGAAAAAGGGCCGAGTCTTAGGCAACTTACTTGTGCAGGTTGCCTGTCTTGGGCTAATAGAGACCTCCCTCCATGCAGAAGGAGCCAGCCAGAGGGAGAGACAATTCCAGAATAGCCAGTGGCTAGTGCTTACCAGGCATGGAAAACCTGGGTTCATCTCGTCCCCACCCTACCAGATTTGGAGTTGGAGCTTGAACCCACATCCCAGATGAGTGCTCTAATCACTGGGTTATTGCTGGCTCCAGAGTGGCTCTTTCTGTTTCCCTAGATGGAGCTGCACCGTATTGTATGGACCATTACGTCTGCCTTGGGCCAGAGAGAAAAGCCAGCAGTCAGTACCCCCCAGAGACAAAGCATGAATCCCTCCTCCAATGAATATTGAATGATTTATGCAAAGAAGAACAGCTCCGCCAGGAAAACAAAGCACCACATCCCAGACTAGCCAGTATCCTGTTGGCCAAGCCTCTTTGAGGATGTGAATCTAAAGAATTTGCCTAAGGCCATGCAGGAAGTCTGTGGCAGAGATAATGGACCTCAGCTCTCCCACTTCCTAAGCCAGCCCTGAGCAGGGCACCACCCTGCTTTTTCAGGGCAGAGAGAGTCTCTCACTCACTATGTCACTGGATAGTACTGAGCTCAATAGAACCCCAATCTGGGGTTAGCGATACAAGTCCTAAAGTTTTCAAGATCAGGTTGTACAAACATGTGGTTTGGATGGCTTAATCAGGGATGATCCTCCCTTGAGCAAGGGAGTCAAACTAGATGACCTTGAGGTACCTTCCAGCCCTACATTTCTGTGACTCATTCAGGTGTTGGCTCAGTGTTGTTGCTGTCAGGTGTTTCTGCCCTCAGTGGTGCTGCAGAGGTTGGTGGGTCACCAGCTTCTGCTGTGAGAATATTAGTAGTCTCTTTTCTCCCCCCTCAGCCGCCCAGGCACAAGCATGAGGGTTTGCATCACTCAAGCAGCCCTGGCTGGGAATTTCCAGCCCGTCAGCCCCCAGCGCACCAGCCAATTGCTGAACGCTAGTCGTGTCGTGTTATTTCCTGGTGCCTGCTGCCCCGTGACAGCCTGTGATGGTAAATAATCTTGTGCCATGGAGGAGCTGGAGAATGACGCTGAGGGTCCAGGTCTCTGCAACCCACAGACCCTTGTGAGCAGGGAGAGTGGGGCAACATCAAGGTTTATTATGCAACTTCTCTCCCCAACCACTCCCCCATGTATAGGCAGCCCATAAATAGATCAGCTTCACTTGTTCCTCTGTGTCAGCTAAGGGGAGGGTTATATCCCTCCCTCTGCCTTCTAGCCATGCAATGGAGGGAGAGATGGAGGTGCTAGAATTGTCCTGGCTTTGGTTTTTCAGACATGCTTTGCACCTTGTTCATTCCTTTCTGTCCTGGTCTTCCACGTGTGTTTGGGACCCACTTCTTAAAGGAGAAGACAGCTGCTTCTTTGGAGCATGGGGGCAATCCAGACTCTGCCCCATGTGGGCCTAATTCTGAGTTATCCCACCCTTGTGTGGTTGGGAGCAGTTGTTGTGAGTCCCCCTCATGCTGCCCAAGTGGTGGTGCAATTCAGGGTAGTGTCGAAGCTGATCTAACTTCCCAATTTTCCAGTTTTCTCAAACTGGTCAAAATGAGCTGTTAGGGACCCCTGCTTTTTAGTCAGGTGTCCATACAGTGCTGCCTCCCTTGTCATCAGCCTGACTCCTGCCATCATTTCAAGGAGCCGGCTTACCTTTTTCCACACTCCCTTGGCATAGGGGCAGAGCCATAGGAGGTGGTCAATGGTCTCTCTATCATCTTGGCTGGTTTTCCTGGGATGGTTGGGTCAGTCCTTCATCCCTCTCTGTGTCTCCACACCTTCACTGGGAGAGCACGGTGTGCTATTAGCCAGGTCAAGTCTCTGTGGTCCTTTTGTAGGTCTTTGTGGAAAAAGAGAATGAGGACAATGATGAATACAGTGATGAGGATGATGAGGATGACGAATAGGACGACAAGTGAAAGCACTGGAATGGGGATAGGTGTGCAGGCTTATGGGTGCGTAGGTGTGCAGTGCAAACTTTGTAATGGGACTGAAATAATTTAAATGTCAAAGTGTGCTTTGGTCTGTCAAGTGAACCACAGTGTTCACTTGCTGGCTTGCTAGAGGTACAGTTATATCTATATATATCTATAAATATATCTATAGATATATATTGCAAACCCCCCCCACACCCAC